ACTGGACACTGCCCTACACCACACACAAAGAACACTCGAAATGGATTACAGCCTTGAGTGTAAGATCCGAAACCATGAAACTCCTAGGAGAAGCTCCTTGACATCTGTCTTGGTGATGATTGTTTGAACCTGATACCAAAAGGAAAAGCGACATAAGCAAAAATAAACAAGTGGGACGACATCAAACGGAAAGTCTGCACAGCAAAGGAAACGATCCATGGGACGGAAAGACCACCTGCGGAATGAGGGGACCTAATTGCAAATCCCGTGTCCTCGAGGGTCTGGCGCCCAGAGCTCACAAGCTTGACAGTAGAAAGACGGGGAAGCTGATCCCAACACAGGCGGAGGACCGGGACAGACAGACACTTGGCCCATGGTGAGAACAGCTAAAATGAACAAGTCAGGAAACGGGCAGGTGTTGCCGAGGGTGTGGAGAAAGGGGAGCTCTTGTGCACGGTTGGTGGGAATGCAAGCTGGTGTAGCCACTCTAGAAAAAGAGTCTGGAGGGTCCTCAGGAAGTTAAAAATAGAGCTGCCCTAGAAGCCACAATTGTACTGGGTATTTATCTGAGGAAGACAAAAATACTGATTCGGAAAGATATATGCCCCCCTCATTGCAACGTTACTCACAACAGCCATGATACGGAAGCAGTTTGTGTCCACCGATGAATGAAGGGGCATAGAAAAATGTGGGCTGTGTGTGTGTGTGTGTGTGTGTGTGTGTGTGAGAGAGAGAGAGAGAGAGAGAGAGAGATGGAGTATTACTCAGCCACAAAAAGAACGAAATCTTGCTGTTTGCAATGCTGTGGATGGCTGCAGAGGGCATCAAGCTCAGGGACATAAGCAGAGAAGGACAGACGCCATGTGGTTTCTCCTGCGCGGAGGCGGACTCCAACAACAGCAACAACAGAGCCAAACTCGTGGGTGCGGAGAACGGGTTAGGGGCTGCAAAAGGTGGGGATAGAGAGTGGGAGAAATGGGTGAACTGTCTTGTTTTGCTTAAATAAGTTGAATTTAAAAACACACGTGTGGGGCGCCTGGGTGGCTCAGTGGGTTAGGCCTCTGCCTTCGGCTCAGGTCATGATCTCAGGGTCCTGGGATCGAGCCCCGCATCGGGCTCTCTGCTCAGCGGGGAGCCTGCTTCCCCCTCTCTCTCTGCCTGCTTCTCTGCCTACTTGTGATTTCTCTTGCTGTGAAATAAATAAATAAAATCTTTAAAAAAAATTAAAAAAAATAAAAAAAATAAAAACACACGTGTACTGGATCACTGTTTTGAAAACTAGGAATTCTGGCAAAGAGAATGTTTCAAAGACCTAAATCCTAAATAAATGGAGAGAAGAGAATTGTGTTCATGGACTAGAATGCTGAAACTTGTGATGTCAGTCCTCCCCAAAATGATCAGAGATTTCAGGAGAATGTTTTGTAGCTGGATAGGGGCCGACACAGAGGATCAGAAGGTCTGAAACAACTTTTATCAAGAACAAAGCAGGGGTGGGGCGCCTGGGTGGCTCAGTGGGTTAAGCCTCTGCCTTTGGCTCAGGTCATGGTCTCAGGGTCCTGGGATCGAGCCTGCGTCGGGCTCTCTGCTCAGCGGGGAGCCTGCTTCCCCACCCCCCATCTCTGCCTGCCTCTCTGCCCACTTGTGATCCCTTTTTCTGTGTCTGATAAATAAGTAAAATCTTAAAAAACAAACAAACAAAATGGGGGTGTGGGGGGCTCTGGGTGCACAGCAGCGAGGCCCACATGGGCAGCAATGGTCAGCACGGACGCAGTGGGAGGTGGACGCAGCAAGGACCCAGAAACAGGCCCACACGGGGGACCACCGTGCCAAGGTGCACGAGAGTTCAGCGAAGGCGGCAGCAATGGGACGTGAGCCTTGACCTAAGCCGCGCATCTCCCATGAAGATTAGACGCACTGTAGCTCTAAACGCACATCATGGGACCAAAAGCTCTCAGGAAAAAGAAATCGTCAAGGCCTGGTGTTAGGTGAGAAAGTCCCAGCAATGACGTGAAAGGAGCCGTCCGCTGGAGAATACATCTATAAACCAAATTTCATCAGGAATTCAAAATTTTGCTCTGTGAGATGCACCGTTAACAAAATGAAGAGACCAGCTACAGACCCAGAGAAAAAATGTGCAAACACATACACGACAGGGGGTTAGATCCAGAACACGTAAAGCACTCGTGGGTTCTAAATGTGGTGTCTCTCCCGACCGGAGGGGGCCCAAACGTGGGGCCGCCCACCGGGGTGGAAGCCGGTGGAGCAGGAGGCGCACGAGTCCTCCTGACCCCGTGGCAAGTGAGGCCATCCGCCCCGCGGCCGCAGTGAGGGCTGTCTTGAAAGAGGGAGGGCCGGGAGGTCTAGCTGCACACAGAATTTTCCTGTGTTTGGTAACGGTGCCTGGTTGTGAGCAGCCCATTGGGCAGTTTGGCCCACGGATATTTTGAGGGGGGTCTCCTGATGGGCTTGGCTGTGCTCAGCCAGGGGCTGCTCAAGCCTGTCGGCCTGGACACTGCCTCTACAGGACACCCTGAGCTTAACACGAAGAACTCAAACAATCCGATTTTAACATGGGCAGAATGTGATGCTTCATCAGGGAGGATTTTTGTGAGCAAATCAGCGGTGGGAAGGTGTCCAGCACCCGGGCCATGGGTGCAAGTTAAAACCATAATGAAGTTTCACTGTGCACCCATCGATCGGCCAAAATTAGAAACCGTGACATCAAATGCCGGGGAGGGTGCAGGGAAGCTGGACGTCGCTCCAGTAACCGGCAGTTTCAAACCCAGTGAGACATGACCTGGGCACACGCTCAGCGGTCTGTCGCCGGGTGAGACCCAGGCGCCGAGTTTCCTGGCCACTCCTTGCAGCCAGATCAGGAAGCCCCAGATGCCTTTGACAGGGGCAGGCCGTGCACACTGAGGCAGGTCTATACGGATTAACCGGGACTGACGTGGGCTGGAGGAGGGACTGGAGGGCTGGCGGTGGCTGCCGGGCCTCATGCACTGGGGAAGCCAGGCTCTCCCCATCCCCGGGGCCTTCTCCCCAGACGGGACGGTGACCAGAGGCCATCGGCAGTGGGGCTGGCAGGGGCAGGGCGTGACCCCAGGGAGCACAGGATGGGTGCCCAGTAATTCTGACTGGTAGTGTTCCTGGGAGTCTATACTTGGGCACAAAAATGGGGCAATTTTATCGTACGCTTGGAACAACTGAAGACAGCCGCACTCGGGAGCCACACCTCACTGTCCTGCCTCCTCCAGCCTTTGCTCTAGCCAAGCCCTGGGTCACCAGACTCCGAACTGCCGGGAACCCGCTTCCGGTGGGGAGAGGGCAGGGTTCAAGGGCAAAGTCTGCTTAGCTTTTGGGAGGGTGGGGGCTCACCTGGGCACACACCAAGTGGAGCCACAGGAGAGGGGATGACCCTGAGTGGGGGAGGCGCAGAGCGTGACCCTAGGTAGTGGGGGGTGGCTCCCCAGCAGGGGCCTGAGCTTGACACCCCCTGAACTGCTGTTGGCAGTCTGTGAACTGGGAGTGGGCAGGACCGGCTCACAGGGGATCCCTTGCCCAGGCTCCGTCACCTGCCGGGTGAGGTCCAGGTGGAGGTGGGTGGTGACTAGCTGAGGGGGAAGAAAAGGCAGGAAAACACCTGGCAGGCGCCTGAGCAACCGCAGTCCGGCTCTCTCCTTGCTGCAGCCGGCTGTCCGGCAGCCCAGGTGAGGGGCCGCTCTTAGTCTGGGGTGCTGTCCTGGTCAGGGAGGGGCTGTCCTGGCCAGGGAGGGGCTGTCCTGGTCAGGGAGGGGCTGTCCTGGCCAGGGAGGGGCTGTCCTGGCCAGGGAGGGGCTGTCCTGGTCTGGGGGGTGCTGACCAGTCCTGAAAGGGGTGTTCTAACCATGGAGAGTGTGCCCACCCTCCTTGACCACCCACTGGGGGCCCAGGCTGGGGGTCTCACAGTACTATATTCCTTGGAGATGGGGTTATGAGGTGGGGTTCCAGTGTCCTGAGCCCTGCCATGCCCTGGGTGCTGGTTGGGGGCACAGGCTGGGCCCCCTCAGGGCTGGACTGACTGGCTCAGACCAGTCACCAACCCTCTGAGTCGCTGCCTCCCAGCCTCGGAGTGGGGCCTGAGCCCCACAGCCCGTCCCAGAGCGCGTGTGTGTTTGTGAGGCTGCCGGCGGGCTGCGGGTGCGGGGTGCGGTCTCCTGTGGGCTGCAGTACGGAGGCTCCGGACTGTTGCAGGTGTGGCCCTGTTCGGGGACGTTTGGGGCCTGGAGCAGGCCCTACGGGGACCCTGCGTGGCCCGCATTCCCAGCTCTGCCTCGGCCTGCTGCCCAGAGCCTGTCTGGAGCCAGCATAAAATCAGATTAGAGAAAGAGGTTGGGTTTTCAAACAGAAACCGGTGTCTTTGTTAAGAACCCCCTGACCTCAAGGTCCTTTTTCATCAAGAAAATGTGCTTCTCGGGGCCCCACCGACCTCACTCACTAGACCCCACGTGAGGCGGCCTGGCAGGAAGCAGCCATCCAGCTGGTCACCCGTCCCCACGGCTCAGGCCTGCCCTCGGGGCTCCCAGAGGGAACACGGTGCCCTGGGCCGCAGAGCGGGCGGCAGGCTGGCGGCCAAGGGAGGGTCCTGGGTTCCCTGACTTCAGTCTGGATCTGACCTGCTAGGCGGGGGCTCCTTTCCCTGGGAGGGCGGGGGTAGCAGGGCTGCAGGGAGAAGGTGGTGGGGCGTAGCTGCGCCGGTCCCCGATGCGGCATGGGGACGGGGCTCTTCTGGGCCCTATCGCCGCTAGCTGTGTATGTCTCGGGCTAGCCCTGCTGCCTTCCTGGGCCCCAGCCCCTCTGCAGCCTATGGTCCCCTGGGCAGGCCTGGCTCCTAGCGTGTGGTCTGCGGCCTTGCCCCCTGACCCAGCAGGGTGTTCAGTGTCCCAGTGAGGACTGGGCGCCTCTCCAGGTGGCCGTGTCTGCAACCATGGAGTCTGGGGTGCCCCCTGCTGCCCCCCTGCAGGTGCCAGCCCCTCATGGGGCTGACCTGGAAGAAGCGGGTCCTGGCGGCCCTGCTGGGGGCTGCGGTGGCCTCAGGCCTCACCACGCTCATTCTCATCCTGGTGGAGGCCACCAGCGTCCTCCTGCCGGCAGACACCAAGGTAGGCGCCAGGCCCTGAGCAGGGGGAGGTGGGGCTGGGTGGATGCCGGCTGGTCCACGCCCTCCTGACCTTGCTGTCACCCTCAGTTTGGGGTCGTGTTTGACGCCGGGTCCTCCCACACATCCCTCTTTGTGTACCAGTGGCCGGCAGACAAGGAGAATAACACAGGTGTGGTCAGCCAGGCCCTGGCCTGCCAGGTGAAAGGTTAGTAGGCAGCTAGGTCAGCGGTGGGAGGGCTGGACTCCAAGCTAGGTCAGCGGTGGGAGGGCTGGGCAGGAGTCCCCGCCAGGGGCGGCTATGGGGGTGGCACGGCTGGAGTGAGGTGGGAGCAACACTTAAACCCTTAGCGTATCAGCCAATCGGCCTAAAGGAAACGCGGCTCAGAGAGGTTGAATGACTTACCCCAGGTGGCCCAGCTGACCAAGGAGGTCCTGGACCAGGGTCTGCGTGTGCCTGCAGAGAACGGGCGCAGCGCCTGCACAGCCCTTGCTGCCTCTTCCATCTTCAGGAGGCTCCGGGCATTCCCGGGCTCGCGGTCCCGTCACCCCAACCTCTCGCTCCAGTGCCGCGCAGCCTTCTTCCTCGAGTGTCTCAACGCCTCCTCTCCTCTCTCACGAAGGACCGGGGCCATCGAATTTAGGACCCACCCGGGGAATCCAGGTTGAGCTCTTCTCAAGATCCTTAACTTAATTACATTTGCAGAGACCTGTTTTCCGAATAAGATCCCGCTCAAAGGTCCCAGTGGCGAGGGCGTGCTCGTATCTCCTGGGGGGACACGGTCCACGGCACTGCGGGCCCTCCCAGCCCAGCCGGCCCTCAGGCCTGGAGCCGCGTCCTGCGATGCTGTGTTTCAGGGCCTGGAATCTCCTCCTACGCCTCGGATCCCACCCAGGCTGGCGAGAGCCTGGAGGACTGCCTGGAGGCGGCAGTGGCACTGGTCCCGGAGGCTCGGCGTCGGGAAACGCCCCTGTTCCTTGGGGCCACAGCCGGCATGAGGCTGCTCAGGTGAGGCGGGCTGGCTGGGGGCATGTCCAGGAGGAGCAGCTGGGAGAACGGCGGTGTGGACCCCTTGGGCCGGTGGGCAGGGTGGTGGGCTGCGGGTATCCCACCAGCTTTGGCAACCGGCCCTTTCTGCCCAGCCAGAAGAACAGCTCCCAGGTGGGAGACATCCTCGCGGCGATCAGTCGGGTCCTGGGCCGGTCTCCCCTGGACTTCTGGGGTGCTGAGCTCCTGGCTGGGCGGGATGAAGGTGCCTTAGGTTGGATTACCATCAACTACGTCCTGGGCGTGCTGGTCAAGGTGCCACGGGCAGCCTGCGGTGGGGGCTGGGTGACGAGGGGCTGGGGGTCCATTAGGCTGGTTTCAGGACTCGGTGCTACCTGTCTGTCCTCAGTATTCCTTCTCTGGAGAATGGATCCGGCCTCTGGAGGGGCCCCTGGTGGGCGCCCTGGACATGGGTGGGGCCTCCACCCAGATAACCTTTGTGCCCGGAGGCCCTATACTGGACAAGAGCACCCAGGCCACCTTCTGCCTCTACGGCTCTGAGCACAGCGTCTACACCCACAGCTACCTCTGTTTCGGGCGTGACCAGATGCTGACCAGGCTCCTGGCTCAGCTGCTGCAGGTCAGCTGGGCCCCAGAGGAGGGAGAGGGGCGGTGAGATGCCTGTGGCCCTGGGCTGGGCTCAAGGCCCCCTCCCTGTCCTCCCGCAGAGCAGCCCCGGCCCCCTGATCCGCCATCCGTGCTACCACAGTGGCTACTGGGCCACGCTGTCCCCAGCGACCCTGTATGAGTCACCCTGTGTCCACACCACACCCCCACCAGGCCTGGCCTGGAACCTCACTGTGGAGGGAACAGGGAACCCCGGAGCCTGCGTCTCTGCCATCCGGGGCCTCTTCAACTTCTCCAGCTGCGAGGGCCGAGGACACTGTGCCTTCAATGGGGTCTATCAGCCCCCCGTGCGGGGCCAGTTCTACGTGAGTGGGAGCCCTCTACACTGTCCTCCCCGGGCTCCCAGCTCCCTGCCGGAGCCCCAGGGGCCTGATGTCAAGCAGGCCCAGGGCGAGCCCTGGATGGGTGGGGGACTCTGGGTCCCCAGGTGTGTGTGGGGGTGGGCGGAGACTTTGCCTGGTTGGTGCTGGGGCTCCTCTGACCCTGGCCAACCCGGGCGCTGCCCCGGGGCAGGCACACCCAGCTTCCTTCCCCACCCCTAGGCCTTCTCCAACTTCTACTACACCTTCCACTTCCTGAATGTCACCTCCAAGCAGCCGCTGGCCACCGTCAACGCCACTGTCTGGGAGTTCTGCCAGAGGCCCTGGAAGCAGGTGGGTGGGTCCTGGGACCACCCGTCCCCACCAGCACCGCCCAGCACTCCCGGCTGCCGCTGCCCCAGGCACCGGACCTCCGCAGGCAGGGCCTCAGCAGGACCGCACCCCGCAGGGTGGGGCCAGCAGGGCTGGGGGGATGCCGAGGGAAGGGAAGACCCAGGCAGGGGATCCAGGGCCCCATCCTTGGGTGGGACCTGCCTCTGGTGGGCCGGGAGAGGGGGCGTCACCTGGCTCCTTGCCTGCCGGGCCCCCAGGTAGAGGCAGGCTCGCCCGGGCAGGACCACTGGCTTCGTGACTACTGTGCCTCAGGCCTGTACATACTCACATTGCTGCTCGAGGGCTATGGGTTCAGTGAGGACACCTGGTCCAGCATTGAGTTCCGGAAGCAGGTGACCACCTCCCGGGGTGAGGCCATCCGACACAGGGCAACGGGGGCGGTCGGGGACTCTGGGGCAGTGGCCACAGCCCTGACCGGCCTGCCTGTCCCACAGGTGGGCGGCACAGATATCGGCTGGACGCTGGGCTACATGCTGAACCTGACCAGCATGATCCCAGCAGAGCCGCCCGCCCGCTGGCAGGCAGAGAGCTACGGCGTGTGGGCGGCTGGAGTCGTCTTCGCTGTGCTGACTGTCGTGGCTACCCTCGGGGCCGCCGCCGTCCACCTCCTCTGGCCCCGGGGCTGAGCTGGGCTGCCCCCTGGCACTGGTGGGGCGCGGGAGTGGGGGGCTGCCCCAGCCTGGACGGCTGCACGGGCCAGAGCCTTCCCGTGAGCCCTGCCGGGTCTCCCTGTGTCATGGGCTCTGGCCCCGTGGTCAGATGGCCCCACCCAGCCCTCAGGGTCACTCTGGCCAAGCAGGCTGTATTGTGGCCTCCCCATCCTGGCCCCCCGGGTTCCCTTCTCCACCGCGCTTCCCAGGACAGCAGGTGACTTCCTGCACAAATGCTGGGACACAGGGTCCTGCAGCACTCAGGGCTGTGCGATCCGTGGTGTTGTGGGACGTGAGGCCGCTCAAGCCCGGAACGGGGAGTGACTGCGGGAACAAGAAAGGCTCCGGCTCCCTGGGAGAGGCCGGCCGTGGGGGCTCTAGGAGCGGCAGAGCTGGCGGGACCCTTGCTGTTTCCCGGCCCGAGGGACAGTCTCCGGGCTCCGTGGCTTCTCCTGGAGTGGCAGCCCCTTCCCTACCCTGGAATCCTTTGTCAACCAGCCCAGTGGACAAGCCCAGATTACAGACCACACCTTCGTGGGGCGGGGGAAACCGCTTTATTAAAACCCTCCTGGCCCCGGGACGGCTGATTTCTTCACTGGGGCTCTGCACGGGATGTCGGGCTCCTCACACGTCCTGTCCAGCTGGGACCACGAAGCACTTGGGGAAGATGCCGACGCGGCCGTCACAGTGACCCTCCAGCCAGGCCTGGTCCACTGTGTGTGAGAGGGTCAGGGTCCCTCAGAGCGCGTCAGGCAGTGTGAGCTCACGCGATCTCCTCGTGCCCCAGCGGCCCACTGACCTTCACACAGCACGTCCACGACGTCCCCCCGCTGCAGGGCCAGGTCCTCGGGCCCCCGGGGAAAGTAGCTGTGCTGGGCCACCACCTGGTAGAGGGCAGCTCGGCCGCCTGCTCCCTGTGGCTGGAGGAGGGGGCACAGGGTGGGCAGGGCTAGAGAAGGGCCTTGGGGTCCCTCGTGCCACCCCCCGGCCACCCACGCCCTCCCGAGGCTCACCCGGCACTGAAGCTGCAGGGCCCCAGCGCCGGCCACCGAGTCCCTCCAGGCCCTCTGCAGCGCCTCCTCCCCAGGGAGGGGGACCCAGCGCCCCTTGTTGCTGGGGTCTTGGTAACTGCAAAGAGACTCCTCAGAGTGGCATCAAGTGGGCGGGGCGTGCTCCTGGCGGGCGCTGACCTCTGACGTCTGCAGGGCCGCCCCTGGCCCGCCTGCTCACCTGAGCTGCGCACGCTGGGCCTGGTGACCGAGGGCTTGGCTCAGCAGGCCCCGCAGGCTGGCCAGGTCCACTCCTCTCGGGACCCTCAGGGCCAGGGTGAAGGCACACTGCACAGTGATGGTCACCAAGGACGCAGGTTCCTCCATGGCCGCTCCCTGGGGCAGAGCAGCAAGGCAGTGGTCGGTCATGAAGCCCCAGCTCTGCATGCCCAGGGACCGGCTGGGGTGGCCTTTGAGCCACGAGGGTGGGAGGGGCTAAGGTCCCCAGGGCCTAGTCTCTGGGCCCCAAATCCCTGAAAAGTGGGGGTGACATGAAGTCCTGTTCCTCTTACCCCAGCACCCAAGGGATCCTCTGAAGGGCGGGGTTCCGGTCCCCCGGCCACCGGCAGCCCTGTGGAGGATGACAGAGCAGGGGCTCAGGTGGCCCACACCCCGGCTGGGAGGCCCAAGGTAGCCAGCTGCCTCTCTCGGGGGCGAAGAGGCTGCTCCCAGCTTCCCAGACGCCCGCCCAGGACTCCCACCACCACGGCCTCTGCCCACCACCTGCAGCTCAGGGGGTCCTTACGTGGAGGAACCTGTCTGCCGACCTGCTCCACACGGGGCCTCTGCAGGAAAAGCCACAGGCTGGGAGTGGGGGCCAGGGGTGCGGGGCCCCGAGGTCCGGGCGGCTTTGCCCGGCCTGGGGCTTGCAGCAGCAGACCCAACGGTGAGGTGTGTGGCCGGGGAGTCAGCTGGTCAGCAGGAAGCCGTAGGTACAAGCTGGATGCGGGTGCGTTTAGGGCAGGAACCAGGTCCCTACAGGCCTGGAGCCCATACTGCCCAGTGGGGGTGTCCTCCCAGCACTATGGCCCCTGCACCCCCCACACACACCGGGCCTGGGCTCACTCACCCACCCACCCACTCACTCACCTGTGCCCCCAGTCCAGAGCCGACCTCTGTCTCTGCCTCAGGAGGCATCCTGGGACCGCAGGGTCTGGCCGTTCTGCACGGGCCTGAGCCTCTGGCCCTGGGGGGCAGGGGGGGCCCTCATTGTCAGGACTGGCCCAGCTTGTGCTTGTTCCCCCCCAACACAGCCTGAGAGGAACCCCAAGTGTGGATATGAGGGGCCGTGGCCCTGGGTGGGGGCCTGCTCGATGTCCCCACACCCTGTGTGACATTGAGCTGGGATGGCTCCACCTGGGAGGGTCGTTTGGCAGTGCCGGCCCACAACCCAGCAGCACCCTCCTCGAGCCCCTCGGTTCTGAGCCTCGGTGGTGTGTGGGGTCATGGCGACCTGACGTCTCAACTCCCCTCTGGTGCCCACCGAGGCCTGAGTGGTGGTTCTGTGGGAAGGGGGCACAGGGCTCTTCGTCCTGCAGCAGGACAGGCTCCGGACAGACTAAACCCAGGGCCTCTGGACAGAGGGGGTGCGGGGAGGGCTGAGAGAGGCTCTTCCCTGGCCTCAGGGGCCACGATGCAGGCCTCACTCCTGCCCCAACCAGAGAAACGCGCATGAGGAGATGAGATCCACTCCTTCCTACCGTGGGGCGGCTCCAGGTCTGCCTTCGCCATCCACACCCCGAACCTGTGGGCACAGAACAGCATGCTCTCTCAGGAGGCAGGTCCCCAGGGGCAGCGCCAGGGCAGGGAGCCCCAGCACTGCCTTCCCCGGGTGAGACTCTCATACTCAACAGGCCTGCCACTCCCAACTTTAGATCAGAGGGATGTTGGGGAGCCCCTGAGGGCTCAGGGCATCTCCCTCCCTTCACAGGACAAAGGTCTGAAATGCCCAGGCCTGCAAACGACAGGTGAGAAGTCTGGGCTGGCTGGGAGGCGACCCGCCCACCTGGGGCTGCCGAGGCTGGCTGTCCTCATGTTGGTCGTCGGGGATGGCAGAGGAGACCACCTGGTGAGGGACGGCAGAGGGACAGCTGAGCTAGGGGCCCTGCAATGCCCACTCCCAGCCCCTGCTGCCCACACCACACTCCTGAGGGGCCCATCTGCCGGGGACTGGGGGGGCTGCTCACGCCTGACCGAGGGCTGTCAGCCCACCACAGTGGGTTCTGGAAGGCAGAAAAAATGCGTCTCATCAAGAAAAATCCCTGTGCTGACAGTTTTAAAAATTTTTTTGAAGATTTTATTTGTGTATTTCTTGGAGAGAAAGAGAAAGCGTGCGCATAAGCACAAGCAAGTGCAGAGACAGAGGGAGAAGCAGGCTCCCTGCTGGGCAAGGAGCCCGGTGCGGGACTCGATTCAGGACCCTGGGATCCCGACTCAAGCAAAAGGCAGCCACGTAACCGACTGAGCCATTCATGCGCTTCTTAACTTATTTTTAATACAACTTTTTAAATGTCTTTACTTCTTAGAAGTTTGTACTGTGACAAACAAACTCTAAACTCACAGATGCGCGAAGCTCGGAGCCGCCCGGCCCCTGCCAGCGATGTCTGCAGGGCCCAGGTGTTTGGGGCACATGACCTCACCAGCCCTGTACTTGGTCACACCAGCGCGTGGGCCCTTGGTGACCTCGGTGGGTGCTGAGGCTAACTCAAGGGCCACCAGCTTGGAACCCAGGTGAATTTTCCTTTGTGAGCCCTGGAGTCACCTCCTTGAACCCCAGCCCTACTCCCCAGTGTTCTGTGATTTTGGTGGTGCTGCCTGGCCCTGGCCAGCCGACCTTGGCCCTCACTGGGATCTCACTCTCTGGAGCACAGATGCAGGGAGACAAAGAGACAGAAAAGCACGGGAGAAACTGAGGCCAGAAGGGTGTGGCTGAGGTGGAGCCGGGGGGAGCACTGCCGAAAAGCCATGAGCTCCCTTATCTGCAGCTGGCCTCTGCTGGGGGCTCTGCCTCCCGGTTGCGAGAGCCCAGGATCTGTGAGCTCCACTTGGAGACACGGCTCCTGACCCAGGAAGCTCAGGCACTCTGCCGTGTGGGGGGTGGCCCCGGGCCCACTCTCCTCCCACCCACCGAAGCCCTTGTAACAACACAGACCGCACCGCGTGTGCCCCTGTGAGCTCGGCGCCTGCTGGCTGCTGCTGCCCCCAAGCTCCTGCCGCAGGGGGTGAGAGGCCGCCCCTTACCTTGGCTTTGCCCAGGAAATCCACTGGTTCCAGATGCTCCAGGTGCCGCCTGTGGGGCCGAAAGACCTCACCCCTGGGGACCTGCCGAGGCTGCAGGGGGACCTGCTTCTGGAGGGGGTCCAGCCAACGGAGACCTGAGCATCTGACCAGGGCTGTGGCCTCAGGGACCCTCCACCTACTTCTCAGGGGACCTGGGAAGTCCTTCCCCAGCCCCCACACCCAGGCACACGGGCCATCTCCCTCTAGAAATTCCTTCATCGCTTCGACTGGGCCTTGGGAGCCTGTGCAGATGGGATCCCGGGACTGTGGGCTACGCGCCCAGCAGCGCTCACGGGTGGGGTGGCCTGCTCTCCCCCTGCCCCCCTCACCTGCAGCTGGCCCAGGGCGGCGTGCAGGTCATCGCCGGCCCCCTCCGGCCCCTTCGAGAGGGCTTCCTCTAGGCTGCGGGTGGCCTCAGCCCAGAGTCCCAGCCGGCACTGTGCGGCCCCCACGTTGAAGAGCACCTGGAAAGGAGGTGGGAGATGACAGCCTCACTTAGCTCCCCTCCACCGGCCGCACCCCTGGTCCCACCCCTACATCAGCCCTTCAGGCCTCAACCTCCCCCTCTGCCCTCCACCCCTCGCCTGCCTCTGATCCGGATTCCAAACCAGGCCGCGCCCCCAGTCCCACACCAGGTCCCACTGCTGGCTCCGCCCCCAGCCCCACGACCTGGCCCCGCTCCCAGTCTCGTCCTGGGCCCATTTCCTGGCCGCGCCCTCAGCCCCTCTCCTGGCCCCGCCCCCAACCTCTCCGGAACCGCCTTCCAGTCCCGCCCCTGCCCCGCCCCTCTCCTGGCCCCGCCCCCAACCTCTCCCGAACCTCCTTCCAGTCCCGCCCCCGCCCCTCTCCTGGCCCCGCCCCCAACCCTTCCTGAACCTCCTTCCAGTCCCGCCCCCGCCCCACCTGGCCTCGCCCATGGCCCCGCCCCCAGCCCATTCTCGGGACCCGTCGCGCCTCAAGCACCGCCCCCACCCCGGGGCCCTTGGGGAGGGAGCCCCGGCTGAAGCGGAGGCAACCCGGCTCGGCGGCTGCAGGCGGCCGTCACGCGGGCGCGGGCTCTGCTGGCAGCCTCACTGTCCAGGCCCCCGCTGGAGCGGCTCGTCGCTCTGGCGCTTCTCTGCCCCCTACGTCGGGGGCAGAGGTGCGCGCTCTGCGACCGTCCTCCCCGCCCGCCTCACCCCCTTTCCGCATCCGGCCTGATCCCTTTTGCGGCCCCTTCCACGGCGTGCGGCCCTGCTCAGTGCCCTGCTCTGGGTGCTGTCCCAGGAGCCTTTTCTCCGTCCTATCCCCTCCCTCACACCCACGCCAGCGAGAAAAGAGGGCTGGCTTAAGGCCGTCGCCGGCGGGACGCGCTGGGGGCAGAAGCGAAGGTGCCCGGGCCTTCCCGGGCCTTCCCGGGCCTTCCCGGGCCCGAGCCGCCCCGGCCCGCTGACCCCTCCGCTGCTGCGGGGACAGCGGGTGCTCGGCCGTCTCGGCCTCTGTCAAGAGAAACCAAGCCGCTCTTCCCGCGGCGTCTCTCCCCATGGCCTGCCAGGGGACACCACACTCCCAGAGCCGGGGGCCACCCTCTGGAGATGCTGTCACACGGCTGGGTGGGGGTCACCGCCGGGCCAGCTCCCCAGGCCCCGCCCTGCACTATTCCGTGCCCCAGGCCGAGCGGGGGACCTGATGGGCTGAGGACCCCACCCGCGGGGACTTCCCCACGAGTTGTTGGTTGCAGTGCAGATGGTTTGGAGAAGGCTCCAAGGCAGCATGTTTCCGGGAGCGCTGGGGGTGTCCTCTTGATCCCCCTCCCTTGGTGTCAGCCACACGGAGAGCCCAGGGTGGGGGCCCACAGGCAAGCCGTGTGTCCTTCTGACCCCACCGGCCTCTCTCCGCTGACTCTGACCCGCCCCAGACCTTTTCCTGGTGGCCTCCCACCTCTTCTGCCCTTAAGCTTCCTTGGTGTGAAAGTGTGGTCAGTAGGGGTAGTGGGGAGTCTCAGGCCAGAGGGAGCATATCAGCCAATATGGCCCCACCTGTGACAGTAACAAGACAATGGGACCCAGAGGGCGAGGCCTAAAGGGGCACCTGGGCCTTCTGCCCCCAGACAGCACCCCCAGGGCCCCCAGCTGGTTCCCCGCCTTGGAGGCCAGCTCCCTGCACAAGTGTGGCGCGAGCTTACCTCCCAGGCCTTCAGCTTGAACCGCAGGCCCAGCTGCGTGTAGTCGATGGTGGTGTTACCCCTGAGCTGAGCCAGGGCCAGCTGGAAGTCAGTCAGGGCCTCCTGGAACCTACAGGCAATGGGGGGTGGGGGGAGGGCTCAGAGGCTGTAGGGAAAGGGCCAAGCCCTGCCCCAGCCTGCTCCCCCACCCCCCACACCCAGCTCCATGGACACCTGCTGGGGGCAGTGGTGGCCACCCAGATCCTAGCACATAGTAGGCACTCAAGTCCCAACCAACCGGTCAAGTTTCCATCAAGAGACGTGACTGTGAGAGGTGGAGAGGGCACCATACCTGAGGTGTGAGGTGACACCAGCTCTGATCCAGCTCTGCCTTCTGGAAACTGACTCCCTGCCTAGAGCCCCTGTCCACATCCCAGACCCTCTTCCAGTCCTGGCTGCGTAGAGAGCCCTGAGCACTTCCCTCCTGCTTCTCAGGACTCCCGTTCCCTGCGGGCCTCCCTCTGCAGAGACCTGCTGGAAGCTCCTCAGCCCCCACTGGACTCCCCATCTCCCGCAAGCAGGGACCCCCAGAGTAGGCCTGCTGGGCATGGAGCCATCTGTGGGGCTTGTCCTGGGGGCTAGGTGGGGGAGGGGCAAGATGAGCTTGTCCCGGAGAATGTTTCCTTCTCTGGGAAGGACCACAGTGCAAAGAGCCCAGGCAAGCATTGAGGATCCCAACCACCTCTGTGTCCCGGGACACACCCTTCCTACAGCCCTGCTCTCGGTTTCCCCATCTGCAGAATGGGTGTAATCACACCATCCCTCCTACAGAAAAAAAAAAATGGTGAGGAACAGAGGAGGGGATGCCCATGAAAGCACTCAGAACCTCAGCATAGAGACAAGCCTCCTCATGTGGCCCTGCCTGTGTCCTGCTCCAGCACGAGCACAGTACCCTCTCCAGGCTTCCCTGGGGCTGCAGAGGAGGTGGTTGGCAAGAAGAGGTGACCCATGGGGAGAGGGGGAGGAGGAGCCTAAGAATGGACTTTGCAGAGAAAAAGGGCCGTCAGAGAAGAAACAAGGCACCCCTGTGCTCACCTCTCCAGCTGGAAGTTGGCCACTCCCCGCTGGAAAAAGCCAACAGCCAGGCAGGCGTCCTTGGTCACTGCTTGGTCAAGTGCCTGGGGACAGAAATGCCCATAGATTGCCAAGGTCTGCAATTCTATCACTCCTGTGTCACAGACACAGTCCAGGCAGATGACCAGTAGCCGGGGGCCAAGGAATTCCATGGGCCCCAGGACAGCCAGCTGCGGATAGAAGTTTCCTGCCCTGGTCCTGGGGCCCCCAGAGCTTGTGCCTGGGCACCTGCATCACCATTCAGTCTCCCTTGGTGCCACCACCAGAATGAGCCTGAGTTCCCGAAGTGCAAAGAGCACAGTGAGGTGTCGTCCCAAAGCAACCTGTCTGCCATGAGGACGAGGGGAAACGGCCGCACATTAATAAGTTACCTCTGGGGCACGGATTACGTAAGATTTTTGCCTTTTTAAAATCCTATTTCTGATCATTCATACAAAATGACACACTTCTTATCTATTAGAATCAGAAAATGGGTGCCTGGGGGGTTGAGTTGGTTAAGCATCTGCTTTCCGGTCAGGTCATGATCCTGGGGTCCTGGGATCGAGTCCCATCAGGCTAAGTGGGGAGTGGGCTTCTCCTTCTTCCTCTGTCTCTTCCCCCCTGCTCATGTTCTCTCTTTCAAATAAATAAATAAAATCTTTTAAAAAGTATTAGAAGAAGAACACAAAAGTCTTAGTATGTGTGTAAAGTACAGCTTTTCCCTTAACTTCATTCAAATGCAGTCTGTAGGCCATCAGTTAAACATGGGTAACAGGAGGGGCACCACAGTCTTACAAATCTGGACAAACGGGTGGGTTCCTGCAGAGCTGGAATTGACCTAAGGTTGAAGGTACACGTGGAGGCACTGATGTGGGGGGGCACTCAGTGCCAGAAAGACCCATTTGTTTGCTACCCTACCACGCAGAGCAGCCAAGTCAAGGTCACGTAGGGTTCTTACCAACAGACTACGTCTCTGGCTAGAGCCCTGCTCACCCTGCCCTGCTCCTCAGAGAGTTTTATTAATCGTAGCTGTTCCACCGGCTTTTAGAAATCTCCATATTTCTGGCTAATGTGCCCATGCTATTACTTAATTTTATTGACTTTGGTCAGTCTTCCCTCTTCTCTTAGGGTCAAGGATTTAATATCATATTCTTCTGCTCACCACCTCTGTCCCCTCTCTAGTTAAATCACAGTTTATAGGGGCACCTGGGTGGCTCAGTGGGTTAAAGCCTCTGCCTTCGGCTCAGGTCATGATCCCAGGGTCCTGGGATTGAGCCCCGAGTGGGGCTCTCTGCTCCACGGGGAGCCTGTTTCCCCCCCGGCCCTCTCTGCCTGCCTCTCTGCCTACTTGTGGTCTCTGTCAAATAAATAAATAAAATCTTAAAAAAAAAAAAACTTAAATTGTTACTGAGAATTGTAGATTCATATGCAGACGCAAGAAAGGACAGAGGAGCTCCCTTGTACCCTTTACCCAGTATGCCCCACCCCCACTCCCGTGGTCAGGTTTTGCAAGATGCTGATATTGATGCTCTCCTACAACATCTAATTCTCTTTGCATTTGTGTCATTTTCCAGGTAGCTGCCTGATCATCTCAAACACTGCGGGATCCTGGTTCCTTCTGTTGGAGGCAATTGGGGATTGGGGAGATAAGCCGGGGGCTGCTGCATTTTTGTATGCACCTGGGGAATGTGCATCACTTTAAAGAACGCGAAGTGTTTGAAGGGAAGAGAGTGGTTCTGTGCTGCCCTCTCAGCAGAGGAGCTGTGTGTTCACACCCACATGCACTCTTGAACTCCTGGTTCTGTTTTCGGGAACAGACTGGGAAAAGGTGAGTACTTAGATCTGGGGTCTGGGTACCAGCCAGAGAGACCACATCTCCTTCCCATTGCGACAGGTGTCTGATGAAGTCCCCGCTCTAAACTCTACACCCTGGGAGGCAGCAAGCCCCTTGCAAGCAGGATCCAGCCTCCAGCCGATCTCTAGGTATCAGCACAATGAGCACCTGAGCCAGCAGCACCCCAGTCCTTCCCCGTGACCACAGAGTCTGGCACAGGGTCACCATCTCGAGGAGATGGCGAGGGAGGCCGCCCCCCCATCATGCCCCGAGTTCAGGGTGGGGTCCCCCAACTGCACAGCTCCTACCTGCCTTCGGTGTCCACTGAGGCCTAACACAGTGGAGGGGGGCATCCCCAGATGACCCTCAGGAAGAAGGGACCCGGGGCCCACCCCTGCGGCTGTCTATCGCACGGTAAGTAAGGTTCCCCAGAGCCACTCCCTAAAGGGTGGGGTCTCTTCGACCAACCCTGGGGCCTGGGCTGTCGGGCCCCTGGCTCACCCGCAGCGCGGCCTCCGGGTCCCCGGCCAGCAGGTGCACGCAGCCCACGTTGAAGCACATCCTGGCGGGCGGCTCCGGGTCACCCGAGAAGAGGCGGAGGGCGCAGCCCCAGTCCCCGCGCGCCACAGCCTGCACGCCCCGGTGCCAGTCGCGCACCAGGTCTCCCCGAGAGGGCATGGCGGCGCGGACACCGGCCGGACCGTGTCTGCTTCCGGGCCGGAGCGCGGCGGGCGAGGCCGACGGCGGTAGGGGTCCCCTGATGGGTCCGGCGGGACCACCGGGGGCCGAGAGCCCGGAGGCCCGCGTGGGGATGTGGGCCCCCCGCCCCTCGGAGGCCAGCAAGGGGTCTGGACCGAGGGGGCGCTGGGTTGGAGCGCGTGGACTCCGCGAGCAGCAGGTGTGCTACGCCTCCTGCCGCCCCACGGCGCCCCTTGGCGGCGGAGCGATCCCGCCCCCGCGTCGGCTCCGCCCCGCCCCCGCGTCGGCTCCGCCCCGCCCACAGGCCCCGCCCCCACGGTGACCGCCCCCACGACATCCGGCCCCGCCCCTTCCCCCGCTCCCGCCGCGCCCCACGGGACTTCCGCCGGGAGCTCCGGGAGTTGGCCTTTCCCCCTCTCGCAGCGCCTCGGGCTGCGCGGGGCTCGGTGCGTCGGGGAAAGACGGCCGGGCCCGCCGTTGCCGCTGCTGCAGAGGCCGGGCCAGGGTTCCGGGCGGACCCCGCGGGCTCAGGTGAGCGACTGCCGGGGCGCGGGCCGCGGGGGGCGGGCGCGGGGTCCCCCGGGACGCCGGCGGGCAGGGCAGGGCGAGGCCGGCAGGACTGTGGGCGCCCGGCCCGGGCTGTGCCCTGCAGCCGCGGTGGCCCCGAGGACCTCCTGCCCCGAGAGCGTGGAAGCTCCGAGAGCCGCGTGCCCGAGCCCTCCCTGGAGGTCCGAGTGGCCGGGGCCTCGGCCTTCCCCGCTGACACCCCGTGTGCGTCCTGCCTGCGCTGGTCACGCTCCCGGCCCCGCTGACACCCCGTGTGCGTCCTGCCGGTGCTGGCCAGGCCCCGCCCCGCTGACACCCCGTGTGCGACCTGCCCGTGCTGGTCATGCTCCCCGCCCCGCTGATACCCCGTGTGCGTCCTGCCGGTGCTGGCCAGGCCCCGCCCCGCTGACACCCCGTGTGCGTCCTGCCCGTGCTGGTCACGGCTCTCGGCAGAACAGACCCGGCAGGTGCATTAGCAGGTGCGCAGAGATGGACAGCCTGGGAGGGGGTCCCCAGTCCAGACCCGGGGACGAGCCCCTGCTGCCCTGCAGTCGGGCATACAGTCCCTCCTGTAGGGACTTCAGGCCCTCAACGCCCCCGTCTGCCCTCACCTCCAGTCCTGGTGCTGTGGTAGGAAGGATTGTGGGCTTCCAAGTTTGCCGTTGCATGTGTTAATGTCATAAAAGACTTTCCGCGCCTTGGGGGGCTCAGTCAGTCGACTCCAGCTCTTGATTTCCCCGCAGGTGGTGATCTCAGGGTCTTGGGGTCAAGTCCCACCTGGGGCTCCATGCTGAGCAGGAGTCTGCCTACCCTCCCTCTGCCCCTCCACCACCCCCCCATGTTCTTGCATGTCTCTCTCTCTCTCTCTCTCTCTCTCTCTCAATTCAATAAATAATACTTTCCCAGCAACCTGTGACTGTTTGACCAACTATGTGGGCCCCTGGCCTTGCCACGTGAAATGAGCCATCACAGCCCCAGCCCCAGAAACGCTCCCAGAGACAGGCTCTGTCCTTTTATTTACATACAAGAACGTGCAGGGGACGGCTTGTGTCCTTTGCGGTATCAGCTGGAGCTCAGCTGTGATCGCGACCTGGCTGGCCTTCTTTGTTGGCCACCTTCTTCCCCAGTGGGCCTGTGGGTCCTGGGACCTGGGAGCCACTCTGCTCGCTTCTGGCCGTGTCTCCTCCCTGTGTCACCGGGACCAGCTCTCTGACCCCGCAGGCTTCCTTAGCTAAGGAACAGGGGTGCTGAGTGCTGGCCTGGCGCACCTGTCAGGGCTCACGCCTGTGGCATGCCCGGGACGGCAGCTTCCTCAGTAAACGTCTGGGAGCCTCTGCTCTGAGGACCGGCTTCACCCCCAGTGGGGCCTGGGTTTCCTGACCTGCTGGCCTGGAGGTGTCTGCGTACCCAGGGCGGGATCCTGTCCTTCCCGAATCCCCCCATGTGGGCATCCCTCCCACTCCCCACTCCCCATCCTCCACACCTTCCTGACAACATTTGCTCGGGGCCAGTCCTGCAGCCCTGCTCGGCCCTTCTCAGCCCACCGGCCCACCCGGGTCCCGCCTGGGGCTCCTCGGTGTTGACAGCTGCAACCCCCACTCCCCACCCATCCTGGCAGCTCACACCTTTGACCTGATACCCCCTCACCACCCACAGCTCCAGTCCCATTTCCTTCATTGGGGCTGCAGGAGCCCGGCCGAAGTGCCGGGTCTCTTTCCGTCCTCAACACGCGCCTCAGGTGGGTCTACTGACTCCCTCCTCCTGTGGTGGCCTTCCTCCTCCCATGTCCTCAGCCCCACTCTGCCCTGTCCTGCCTCCCAGTCCAGGACCTGGCTGCCTGCTTCCAGAGAAAATGGAAGCAGCTGGAAGGGAACCCCCGCTCCGGGTCTACACCCACAGATCTGTCTCCTCCCCCACCCCATCATTATTTCTGCTCGCTAGGGTCAGCCTATCAACATACTGTGATTCTGTCCAACTTAAACCCCTTCTCGAGCTCTCCCCCCATTTCTTTACCCCCATGTGCCGCAGGACTGCCTCCAAGGGTTCTCAGTGTGTTAGCACTTTTACTGTGCACTTTTTAGGAACTGAGATGTAATTCAGGTATCAGGAAATCCAGTCCTTAGGGGTGCAGGTCACTGTTTTTCCGTGTGCGCAGTGTTGTACAGCCAAACCCGATGATTCTAGAGTGCTTCCTCGTGCTTCCTCACGGTCGCTAGATGCTGGCGCTGCCGCCCCAGCCCCTGGCAGCTGCCGGTCCTGTCTTTACGGGCTTGCGGCTTCGGGGCGTTGGTGTGAACGGCCCGCACGGCACACCGACTCTGCGTCTGGCTTCTCGCTCAGCGTCATTTTTTTTTGAGGTTCATTCGTGTTGTAGCCTGCGTCAGAATTTTGTTCCTTTTTAAGACCAGTAACGTTCCATTGCAGGGACGGCCCTGCTTTGTGTACCCGTTCACCCACTGATGGGCAGCAGCCACATTTTGGCTACCACGAAAAATGCTTCTGTGAACATCTGTGTACGAGTTCTGTGCGGACGTGTTCTCAGTTCTCTTGGGTACACACCTGCGAGCGGGGCCGCTGGCTTCTGCCATCACTCCGTTGAACCTTGTTCCAGCGGCTGCCCTGGCCCCATTTCCATCATGCTGTGGCCCCTGAGCCAGCTCCAGGCGGCCTTCCCACTGCTGCTATACCCAAAGGCTTGTCAGGGTCACCAGCAGCCTCCCCTGGGCCTGGGGCCCTGGGCCTGGCCCGTCCTCCCCACTCAGCCCTGACCTCTAGGATGTGACCTCCTCTGGGTCCCCTCTGCCCCTGTCTGGCCCTCCTGCCTCCCCTAGGGCTCTGTCCTTACTTCCCTGTGCACTCCCTGCCTGGTGCTCCCATAGTCGGAGTGACCGCTGGGGTGTCTGCTGCGTCTGCTCTTAGACTGGCTTTATTTCCCTAACAGGAGGGTGGAGGCAGCCCACCCCCATCACCTCTGTCACCAGATGCTCTGGGCCATGTCACCTCTGTCACCCCAGACGTCCCCGTGTGGAGGACGCTCTGCGGACGACGAGTACAGGGCCCACGGGCCTCGGGAGCAGCAGGGTGAGAGAAGGTCACATACTCTGACTCCGTTCATGTAACTTTCTTAAATGACAAGTTGTATCAATGGAGAACAGATGCGTGGCCACCTGGGGCCACTGACAGATGAACGCCGTGAATGGCAGCACTGCGGGGTCCCAAGGGCAGGTGCTCTGGGTCGCGGCGGGATCCACGTCAGGCCCTGCTTGTGACGTTGACTACGGTGACACCTGAGAGACCGCATAGAGCGCATATGGGGCAGCTCTTCTCTCTCCCAAGTGCGTGTATCTATCTCCAGTTATCTCAGAATAAGTGTCTAAAACCACTTTTTTAAACTTTTATTTATTTATTTGACAGACAGAGATCACAAGCAGGCAGAGAGGCAGGCAGAGAGAGAGGAGGAAGCAGCCTCCCCGCTGAGCAGAGAGCCCGATGCGGGGCTCGATCCCAGGACCCTGAGATCATGACCTGAGCCAAAGGCAGAGGCTTAACGGACTGAGCCACCAGGCGCCCTGTTTAAAACCATTTTTAAAAAGGAAGGTTTCAATGATAGGTTTTTCTATTTAACGGACGTCCTGAAGGTTGAAATGATTAATGAGCCTAAGATTCTTCCAGCTCTGAAATTCAACTGCTTAAACGTTGTGCAGAAAACTTCCTTCTGTCTGAGCTAAAATCTGTTCCCAGGCAGGCGTTGAGGCGTCTGGAGAGGCGCAGCCCACGGCCGACCTGAAGCTAGCCTTCACAGACGGGCGGCCTGCTGTCCTGAGGGAGGGTGACCACGTCAGCACTCTGGGGAGGCCTGCCAGGACCGTGAGGATCCCACAGTTGCTCCATCAATGGAAGAGTCCAGAAAAGGGAGCCATTTCTAAGGTAGGACTGTGACTCAGCTAGTGGTCAGCGTAGTGCTGGAACTTATTTTTACTTTCCTTCTTTTTTTTTTTTTTTTATTAAAGATTTTTATTTATTTATTTGACAGACAGAGATCACAAGTAGGCAGAGACGCAGGCAGAGAGAGGAGGAAGCAGGCTCCCTGCTGAGCAGAGAGCCTGAAGCGGGGCTAGATCCCAGGACCCTGGGATCATGACCTGAGCCGAAGGCAGAGGCTTTAACCCACTGAGCCACCCAGGCACCCCTGGAACTTATTTTTAAAGGAATGTAATAGTTGTGGTTCATTCTGGAGCACAGATGTCAAAGACATGGCAGGAATTGGGTTTAGCCCAATGCAAAGGTGTGTGGGTTTTTTTTTTCTTTCTTTTTAAACAACAGGCACTTTCAAAGAAAAAATAAAATCAAAATAAGATTTTTCTCTCAGGAAATAAAAATAACCTTGGTGTGATGGAAATGCTTGGTGTTGGAGACCAGCTTCCGGAGGCCTGGCCCTGACTGGGGCTGTGTCTGATTCAGGGCCACGGAGCGCGTTCCGTGGAGGGTTCCGTGGGGAGGCGCCTGTCAGCCACAGCTCTGAAACCCACTGCCACAGCCGTTTCATAGGCTGCTGACCGTTCACTCGGGCGCTCATACCTCTGCCACCCCAGGGAATCTTCGAGAGGAAAACCAGAAGGACACAGAAGGCAGCTGTGCAAACAGGAAGCGGCCCACGATTCATCCCCTTTCAGGTTCAGAGCTGGGACCGTAACCCTGGGAAAATTTTAGCGCACCTCTGCAGACCTCTGTGGTGGTCAAGGGCTTCCTCCTCCGCGGGCACCGGGCCAGCAGCGCCCGCCCCTCTGCTCTCCCGGACCCAAGCCAGCACCAGTTACCTGGCCTTGCAGCTTCAGTTGGAGGAACATGTTGCTGCTGGTCCCTGAGCTCCATTTCTACACGCAGCCCTTCCAAAGTGGGTGTCTGTCTGGGCCAGGACCGGCAAGTCAGATACAAGACGGACCCTCAGCTGTCCAGGGCCCTGCAGCGCAGCCACTCCGAGCGCCCGGGCCTGTCTCCGCGCGTGTGCTGCAGACCGCAGGGGAAGGCGGGAAGCCGGCCGGGCTGAGAGCCTCAGAGCAGACCCACAGCCTCGCGTGACGTCCGATGAAGCCAGTGGAACGGCGACAAAGGGAGGAGTGCGTGCTGCTGAAGCGAAACAGGCGGTGAGTCCTGAGTGCCAAGGAGACCCGGACAGAAACGGTGGGTCATTTCCAAGGAGGGAGAAGCCGGCCAGCACAGCAGCTCTGCAGTCAGAAGGAAGCGTCTCTGAGGGACACACAAACCCCAGGAAGCCCGAATGCGGCCAGAGAGGGAGGAAATCACACCCGAAGAAGTAAAAAACAAATGGAAGAAACCAAAAGGCAGAAGAGGGAGTTGATAAAGAGAAAAGCTTAATTAATTAAGTAATTAAATCAGGAAGTACAGAATTAGACCGAAAAGTAGTCCTTTTTTTTTTTTTAAAGATTTTGTTTATTTATTTGACAGAGAGAGTGTGAGCACAAGCAGGGGGAGGGGCAGAGGGAGAAGCCGACTCCCCGCTGAGCAGGGAGCCTGATGCGGGGCTTGATCCCAGAACCCTGGGATCATGACCTGAGCCGGAGGCAGACGCTTAACCCACTGAGCCCCCAGGTTTCCCTGAAAACTAGCTCTTAAAAAGACCCGTGAGGGGCGCCTAGGGGGCTCAGTCCATGAAGCGTCTGCCTTCGGCTCAGGTCATGATCCTGGATTCCCCGGATCGAGTCCCGCATCAGGAGTCTGCTTCTCCCTCTGACCCTGCCCCCCTCATGCTTGCTCGCTCTCCTTCTCACTCTCTCAAATAAATAAACAAGATCTTAAAAAAAAAGACCAATGAGACACACTTCTGAGGAGACTAAGAAAAAACAGGACCGGGGGAAACGACACTCAGTGTTAATGGAGGGGACCGCGTATTTGCCCCTCTGCGGTGACACCGCGGTCACGGCGGGAAAACCTCCTCGAGAAGCGGGATGACTGCCCCGCAGTCCAGCCTATCCCAGCCGCCCGGCAGGAAACGAAATCAGAGCTGGGTGCCGAGCATCAGAGACCCACAGGCTGTCCGGCTCCAGCTGCACGGGCGGTGGGCGGCCCCCGGCCCCTGCTGAGCCTGGAGACAGCACAGGCCTACCTCATTCTGGCTGCGACCCCCAGGACCCGGAGCAGGACCCTGTGGTCAGGCCGTTTCCTGCACCTGACCCCGCGCGGGATGGTCAAGGGTCGTTCTACTCTAAGCCACTGCGTTTGGGGCCATGCGTTTGGAAGCAGCGCGTGGCCCCCGAGCGGTCAGCACCACGGGTCGGATCGCGAGGGCAGAGCCAGGCCCGCGGGCAGCCCGGGGCAGACCACACAACGGCGAGAGCGCCTGGTGTCCATGGGGCGGGCCACCGCCCCACGGCCTGGTGGGGCTCTCGGAGCAGGTGGCCCCATGTCCTTCCCAAAGCTAAGGTTTCCTCGGAGTATAAAAATCTTTAAAAAGGTTGTAAACTTTATTTGAGAGAGCACATGCGCACAAGTGCGAGGGACAGAGGGAGAGAGACTCTCCCAGGCTCCGAGCTCAGTGCAGAGCCCGCCGCGGGGCTCCGTCCCACCACCTGGAGACCAGAACCTGACCCCACGCCAAGGGCCCACGCTGATCTGACCGCTCCGCCCACGCACCCCAAGTTTAACTTTTAAAGTTTCATTTATGATTTTCTTTCTTTATGATTAGGAAGTGCGGTGTGTTCATTGTATAACATGTAGCAAATACAAAAACAAGAAACAGAAAATGGAAGGGGCGGCCTGCCCCCCCACCCCCACCGGTGCCTGCGTGGCTCCGGGTCTGTCTCATACTGATGGGGCTGGGGTGTCCTGCAGCCCACACTGCGCTGCAGTGGCTTTCCGTCAAATACAACTGTGCCACGTTGTGAGGTCCTTTCTTCCCAACGACATTAAATGTTTTTGTAAAATGTTTTTAAGTAGCCATTCATCATTCACGTGATTCTACCCCGTTATTGGACAGTGGGAGGCCCGCACCAGAGCGGGCGGGGAGCTGGAAAGCCCGACTGAACGGTGGGGCCAGTGACTTCTGGCTCATGCCCTCTCCTGCTGACCCCTGCACCCAGTGGGAGGGGTTCCAGGAGAGGCGCTCCAGCGAGGCCCCCAGACAGGGCTGCAGCCGACTTGACCAACTGGAGTGACCCGGACAGTGTGCACGCCGTGGCAGGGTACAGCCCAGAGCAGGGGGGCGCCTCCCACAGCTGCTCCGGAGGGCCCCCCACCCCCCACGTGGCATCTCTGGAAAGGTACTTTCTTGTGTTTTAGATTGGTGATCCTAATTTTTAGAGAAAGGAGCAACTCTTAGGTCAGTAAGTTAAAAATCCCTCCCGGGGCACCTGGGGGGCTCAGTGGGTCAAGCCTCTGCCTTCGGCCCAGGTCATGATCTCAGGGTCCTGGGATCGAGCCCTGCATCAGGCTCTCTGCTCAGCGGGGAGCCTGCTTCCCCCTCTGTCTCTGCCTGCCTGTTTGTGATCTCTGTCTGTCAAATAAATAAATAAAATCTTAAAAAAAAAAAATCCCTGCCACGCGGCTGGGTGAAATGGAAAGGGACAGACGCCGAGGAGCCTGTGTTGGCAAGGCCATGCACCATCGGGCCCTTCGTGCGCTGTGGTGGGAAGCAGTATGGCCAACAGCATGTTGTGTCTTCTCGGCTCAGCCCAGCCCTTTCCCCCGGGAACAGGCGGTTCGGGCCCACGGGAACATCGGTGTGCGACTGTCCGTGGTGGCCACAAGGTGGAACCCAGATGAGTGTGGTCCGCCGTGGGAAGGAGTAGATGCCAGCAGGTGCCACAATGTGGACGGACCCTGAAAGCAGCCTGCTGGGGGAGGGGCCGGACGCAGACCGCGTACGGGGCCTCCGTGTGTGTGAGCATTCACAACAGGCAGGCCTCTGGAGGCAGAAAGCGGGCTTGTGGTTGCCAAAGAGGAGTGTGGGGAGCAACAGCTAATGGGTACGGAGTCTTCTTTTTGGGGTGATGAAAACGGACTGGAAATTGGTGGTGGTGATGTTCTCTCACACCTAAATACGCTAAAAACGCTGCATTGTGCTGTGTGTATTAGATCAATAAAGCTTTTTTAAAAAATCACTGAGGTGTGTGCCCAGACATTTAATTCAGTTTGCAAACCAACTGAAACAGCTTTCCAGTTAGCATTCTTGCTGAACCAGAGACATGAGGGGCCCCTGTTTTCAGGGGCCCAGGCTGTGCCCCCCCACCCTGTGTCTCGGGTGCAACCCCAGTCCGCCTGCATTTGGAATTTGGGGGCAGCAGAGGGAGTCCCCGATGCTGTTGTGCAGGGTGGTGGCTGTGTGGGTCTGGGCGCAGCTCCTCCTCCGCTGGGCGTGTGGCTGGGCACCTGCCGGCTGGCCGGCTGCTCCGTTGAGGCCAGTGTGCCTGGCAGAAATACGTAGCCCCACACATGACTTTCAGCTTTCTAGTACGAACACTAAGAACGTAAAAGGAGAAGGTGAGGCGCTGTTGGCTGGCTCAGTTGGTAGAACACGTGTCTCTTGATCACAGGGTCATGAGTTCAAGCCCCAGGGTGGCCATAGAGCTTACTTATAGAGAAGTATAAAAAAATAAAGTTAACAATATATCTTAACTCCAGGGGCGGCTGGGTGGCTCAGTGGGTTAAGCCTCTGCCTTCGGCTCAGGTCATGATCTCAGGGTCCTGGGGTCGAGCCCCACATCAGGCTCTCTGCTCAGCGGGGAGCCTGCTTCCCCCTCTCTCTCTGCCTGCCTCTCTTCCTGCTTGTGATCTCTCTCTCGTCAAATATATAAATAAAATCTTTTATATATATGTATATATATGTGTATATATACACACATATATTTATATATCTCCTGACTCCAGTATTCCCTGAATATCTTCGTTTCCACCCGTAATTGATACAAAAA